TGAGATTTCCTTTATTTTTAGTGTTTTTCAGATGACATGGTGTTGGAAATAGATTAAACATATGATGTATGAAAATGAATGAGGTGTGTATAATAATATTTGTCTTTTTATGACTGACTCTTACAATTGATGATCAATTCATTATCTCTTTTCTTTTTCTTACACTTTTTCTTTATCTGCTAGTCACTACTCTTACATGACCTCTATATAATACAGTGTTTGATGACTAGGTTCAGCAGCTTTCATCTTTGTGATTCTGTCTCATGCATTATACTGTCTCTCTTCACCCGCTCAGACCACTACAGTGAACAGTTCATTAAAACTAACCTCACCTGACCTCTGAGTGTCCTCAGGGATTGAGATGGCTTGGTCCCACACATTCATGAATGTTTCAGATAGTTTGTCCTCTGTGATCTCTGCAATTGAACTGATGTAAACAGTTAAATTCAACTCTGAATTCCTTTTTCTTCTGCAATCTGATCCATGTGTAAGTCTGCTACTTTGAGACTGCTCTTTACTGTGTTGCACTCACTGTCTGCAGTGTGTTATTATACAACTGGCTACAGTCTCATCACTTATTAAAGTGTGATGTTCACCTGATTTCTTCATTTCTTCTCATTCTTTTCTTGTAATTGTGAAAAGATTGAAATAAGTGAGATCATCTGGTTCATAAGTGTCTATGATTTCTCTTACTTCATAAGACTTTTCAATTGTAAGTCTCTTCTTTTTCAACACTGATGATAGTGCTGCAGATGATTATAATTCACTCAGGTCTTATATCTTTGCTTTCACAAGTCATGAATCATTGATTAAGTTGTATAAGACTCATCCCTCTGATTCTTCCAATGTGTACATTCCCAGAGAATGTGATTTGAGTATCTTATATGACTCAAACTATCTAGATTGAAACTTCTCAGAACTCTCATTGCATATGAGAACTCATGTTCTCACCTTGAGACTTGATTCCTTAACAAGTGAGTCTCATATTCTTTTTGATTGAATTGCTCAGTTCAGGAGTAACTTGTTAGCTTTTGCACATGCATGACTGATCTCTTTCAATCTTGATTCTGTGTCTGTGACTGTTGCATTCACAACTGCTTTTCCTGCTGTGTCTACAACTATTGTTCCTGCTGTGTCTGCAACTGCTCTCTCCCCCATCTTTTCTGAAGCATTCTCCAGGATGCGCGGATGCAATCCATACAACAGGTAGAATGATGAATACTTGAAGACTGCATGCTGTCAAATCCATGTGGCCAACAGCGCCTGCCCGAGATATTCATCTCATAGTCTTGTAGGCTTGCTCACTAGATATTTCATCAGCATGTTGTCCAAGATTCCATTCAAGCATTCCATCTTCTCATTCATCTGTGAATGATATAGCATTGTTCTACAATGTCTTGTCTGTAACTGACTCACAAAATGCCTCACTGCTCCTCTCACAAGGTTCGCACTGTTATCAGTTAGAATCTCGCGCGGCATTCCATAGTTGACATAGATCTCATCATGTAGAAACTTCATCATCACCTCCTCTGTCACCTCTGGAACTGCTTTCATGACTGGCCAGTCAGTAGCGTAGTCAATAGCAGTGATTATTCATTGATTTCCATTTGGTGTTCGCGGCAATATGCCTATGAGGTCCATCCTTCATTGTTTGAACAGTTGTATCATACACTTCACCTGATGTTGCACTTTCTCATGTTCTAACCCTTTCTTAGATCCTTTCGCGACCTGGCAATTCGGGCACTCATGAGTGTATGCCTGAATGTCCTCAGCCATGCTTGGTCAGTACACTCTTGATTCAAGTACACTCATGAGTTCAGGGCTTCCTAAGTGACTGAATTCCTTGTGCATGTGAGTCATCAAGTTGCAATGAAATGGAGATTCTAGATAGAGAGCTTCTGTGTATCCTAGATTGTGGTAAAGCACAACATCATTTTTCAATTTCCTCAGCTTGAAGTTCAGAAGCATCTCTTCTACTACTTTCATAAGATGCTTATCATCTGACATCTTGTCATCCTCCAAGTGAGAGATCATGGTGTTCACTCATTCTGATTCCTTGCATTCTCTCAGCACATTTAATGCAAATGTCTCTTATACCTGGTTCACAGAACCCTCACCCATGAAATCAGGTCTGCAACTGATTGCATTCAGCATCACTATGTCTGATCTCTTTCAGTATTTGATATGAAGATTGTATACTTAGAACTCTGAGATTCAATGTACTAAATATTTGAAAGGTTTTGTTATTGATTGTAGATAGACAAGGCTTTTATGATCTGTGATCACTGTTGTTGTATGCCTGTTGTCAATATATCTATCCCACAATGCCAGCGTGTGCTTGATTGCTAGCAATTCCTTTTCATACACTGAGTAATTGAGCTCAGCGCTCAATAGTTTCCTACCATCATACATCACTGAGTGCAGCTTGCTGTCCTTACTCATCTGTAGAAGAGTGTCTCTGATAGCTTATTTAAATGTGTCTGTCTTGATGTAGAAAGGTTTATCACAATCTGATTGAATAAGCACTGAGAATGTTGTTATGCATTTCCTCAGTGTGAGAAAAGCCTCTTCACATGCAGCATTTCAGATGATTGAATAAAACTTCTTCTTTCACAGATTTACATTCATTTCTCTTAAGAGATCTGAGAGTGATGCAGATATTTGTGTGAAATCCTTGATGAATCTGTGATAATATGAGACCAACTCAAGAAACTGTTATATATGATGTACATTTCTCAGCTGCGGTCAATTTGCTATGACATTCAATTTCTTCAGGATGAGGTGTATACAGTCATCACTCACTACATGTCCTATGAACTCCAACTCTTTCATTTCAAACACACACTTGATTGATTTGACATAGAGCTTATACTCTGTCAGAGTTGTAAGCACTTCATCAAGATACTTCAGATGTTTGTTATATGAGTTTGAAAAGACTAGAATGTCATTGAGATATACAAGACATGAGGTTTCATTCTGTTTATGAAGAATCATATTCATCATCATTTGAAAGATGACAGGTGCATTTGTCAGACTGAATGACATTGCTAGGAATTCAAACTTCTCTCATTACATATTAAATGCAGTTCGCGGGACTGACAGTTCACCTACACAGATCTGCCAGTATCCTGAGAGAAGATTGATCTTCAATAGATATCAGGTGTTTTCAACCATATCCAACTGTTGTTGAATTCATGGCAGTGAATATTCATTCTTGATTGTAAGCTTGTTGAGTGCTCAATAATTGATACACATTCATCACTCTCCACCTGTCTTTTTCACAAATAGAACTGGAAAGCCCCACATGCTTGATGAAGATTGTATGAGACCATATTCTAGAAGGTCAGTGATCTGACACTTCTGTTCTTCAAGGTGCATTTGTGATAGAGGATATGCATTCTGATTAACTGGTTTTGCATCCCTCATGTCAATCTCATGTACAAATCCTCATTCCAGCAGCAATTCTGATGAAAGATCTGTTCAGAAGACCTTTTCATGCTTCTTCAGAAGCTTCTTCATATGCTTATCCTCTCACATATCTTTTATCTTGGTTTCCTCTGCTTCTGAGTCTCATATGACATACAGAATGCTTTCAGATGAGGTCTTGTAAATTGTTCTCTTTGCTTGTTAATGTGTAAGCAGATTTAATCCTTCTATATCAGGGATGTGAAATGTCCTTCTCATATCAGTTGATAGGATTGTATGAACCATTTTCTTCCTATCAGTCAACTGCATATGACATGTATGCCATTGAATCTGCAGGTTGAACCTTTAGAACCAATCAAGTCTGAGAATAAGGTTGTATTTCATGTTCTGCAGCTCTTACACTCAAATATAGCAAGATCATTCTCTGAAGTGCAAGAGAACTCTTACTCTTGCAGGTGATATCAAATATCAGTTATCAGATAATCTTATGTGTCAGGAATCCTTCACTCAGCAAACCTCTTTCAATCTTCAGATCATATGATCATTAATATATTGTGTAGAAGCTTCTGTGTCTGCTAACACTTTTGCAGCCATCTCTTGATTCTTACTCAAGTGCCCTCTATACATTAACATTTCAGGCCTCAAGACATTGAGATGAGCATCCACTTCATCATTCTTGCCTGCACCTTATTCAGGAGCCTGCTTCTTCTTTACATTCACAGAATTCAGAGAGTCATCTAACACGGGCATCTCTTTCACTTTGAAGACTTTTCATAGAATATCAGTGAGTGCCTCTGAGCTCACTGATCCTGCTAGTTTTTTAACTCTCTTGCTTCTCTTAACTGTGCATGCTGAGTGCAATCTTTTGCATCATGATTTTGATGTCTGCAGTTGAAGCAAGCTCAATACTCATGACATCAAGATTTCCACTCAGAGAATCTCTTTTTCAGAGGATTCAGTGCTTTAGTGATGGCATTCAGATCTAGATTCATCATGTCCAGGTGTGTGACTTGTGTTGTAGAAGTCTGATTATCTGTTCTCTGCTGAAGCATACTTGATTGCAGTATTTTCTGTTGTAATTGACTTACTTATTCCTGTACAATGAGAATGTTGTATGCTTTCTTCACTGTGCCTGGCTGTGAGGTTAAGCATTTTCATTCCACTCTCAACTCAGGTGTAAGATCATGAATGAAGATCTGTAAACAGAAAGATGTTGAAAGCTCTTCATTCAACATGAGATAGTATAAGCTGAAGTGTGTGAAGTATGATGTAAGATTACTCACTTGTCTACACTCAGTGAAGTGTTCATAACACTTATCTCACACATTCACTTTCTCAAAGTTGTGCAAGATTCACTTGAAAAACTCATTTCATATTCATGAGAATGAATATCACTCTGAGTCTGTGAGATTCATCTTTTCATCAGTCATTCATAATGACTTCACTTTTTCATGTAGAAACACAGCAGATCTTAAGACTTGTTAGAATTTCATTGACTGTCTGTCTGTGAGTTCATATTCAATCTGATAATATGATCACATCTGACTTAGCCAGCTGATTGCAGCATTATTTTTTCAGTCATCATTGAAGCTTGATAGCTCTGACAGATCTCCTGGCTTGATATATTCCATGCTCAGATTCTCATCCTGCACAGCAGTCTCTGATGATGTGTATGCTTCTGAAGAGGTCATGAATAATTGTGATGAGATCTCCAGGTTCAGTGTAGTCATCTGTCTGTGTAAATGTTCAATCTCCTGCTGCAGACCTAAGATCTGGTTTTCTCTATTCTTATTGATGATAGTAATTGCGTCAGTGAAGCTCTTCATAGTGAATGCTTGATTCACAGTAAATGTCAATTGTTGTTTGGCCTCCACCTCAGCCTGTCACTGTGTATACAAGGCCTCAATCTTGTTTAGAATTCTTGTACATGTACAGAGCTTTGATTCTGATTCAGTGGTTTCAGCTGCTTTTCTTACTGCTTTGAGTAAATCCTCTGAGAGGTTCTGCATACCTTTCAATTCAGATAGCAGAGAAGAGTGTTGTTCATATCAGCTAGAGAAGATATTCATTTCAGTGATTTCTGATTGATTATACAATGTCTATTGTTATATTGCTATATCACTGTATCATTATATCACTATATTGTTCTATCACTATATTGTTATATGATTTCTGTTATCATTGTACAACTCCAGTGATGGCCATCCCTTCTTTTATCCTTCTTTTGAGTAGAGAGTGAACTTCTTTGAATCTGATTCACCACTCTCATCCCTTTTCTCACACCTCATTCATTTGTATACATGGCATTCACCTGGGCATGGAGTTTTCCCTCAACAAGTGAAGCAGCAGCATCAATCAGATGCTCTTCCACTCACTGCTCTTTGTATGCTATCTTTTGAGGTGTTCTAGAATCACTCTGACATGATAACTACAAATTGCTTCATAGACAGAATTATCATGCCCTGAAGGAGCCTGCACTTCTCACCAGTTTTTAGACATGCTATCAGATGTGATTCAAAGGTTGCTTAAGCCAGTGTACAATTACAGACATACACCGGCTTCTTATATTGTAATCTCATACACTAAATTAATTAGTGTACACTATGGCCCCTTTACACTCATACGCGTACGCTAGTAGTTCAGAAGCGGCCGCGGTATTATCCGACAGTCGTACGTTCTTCCGAACCACAGAATTACAATCATATTTATTTATAAAATGAGAGAAATTAAGTGAATTTTCTTTACACTTATTTCTCTATATCATATCATGTATGATCATCTACTGAATCTGCTGATTTTACAAGAGAATTCTGATAATTACACTATTATCAGACTGCTGATGATTTAAAAGACAGTATTATATAACATTCTGATACAGAATAGTAATGAAAATGATAATTATTTAATATATAAGTCTCAGACAATAAGATATTTGTATTATAATTAAGATATCTTATTTCTTTAAATAGAATAGATAGTTAATAAATAGCAGCTGTTATACTGAGTAATAGATAACTAACTAGCTTAATAGTATTGATTTTACTGACAGAACAGTATACAGTATCTCATAGTATCTTAGTAGTATTCTGATAATGACATCTGTCAATTACATGATTACTGAGTAGTGTTATAATGATATTAGAAAGTTCTGCACTGTCTCAATGCCATCTTGACATTTAATATTCAGTGACATGTCACTGAATATAATGATGGAACATGTGTTACAATCAGCGACATGTGACACGGGTGGAATGGTGGATCCACGGTGTAATCACCGTAAATTAACCCTACGTTCTTCCGGTATGGTATTTGATGGGGTGCACGTGATATCACGTGATATCACGTTACAGGGCATTTTGGAAGATTCCGGGAATGGGACCCCTCGTCGACGGCAGTACATCTTCCTCTTTGTGCATGGTGAAAATGTTGGCTGCACAAGCCATATCCATCTCTTATTCGACCCAAGGGCCGCCGTTCTTTGAGTCCCGTATGAAAGAAGGCGAGAAGGGCCTAATTCACTCGGCAAAGCCATCTTATCTATCCAGAGGACGAGCCTTTGAATGATAGATTGTCCTTGCTGGTAGAACAACATGCTCAGATGTGTAGTGCTACCAGCTGGAGGGATTGCCAAACCATATATTGGCTGGCACATGAGAACATTCTTTGCAATATTGAATATTGCCGCTTCATCCGCTGCTATTAATACATATCTGCCACCATGGGAGTGGGTTGAATATATTTTTCGTCGACAGTGGCGATTGAATAGAAGCCCAATACAGACCGGGAGGCAAATCGACGATGTCAAAGCAGCAAGGCATGTATATATTATATATATATATAAACATAAACACTGCAGACCCACTCCTGCAAGTGGTTCCCAATTCCGCCGAGCGGAGCCGTTTGATCATAATTGAGCTCTTTGGAAGTGAAGCTTTGATAGGGCTGGTTGACAAAACACAGGTGGCTTTTGGTCCCTTAGGTAGTGTATGTATACAATGTTTAGCGCATCGTTGAGTGTGAATCCCAAGGTATTGAAAGTGAGATTTACTTTTTGTGGATGCCATTATTTGGGAACTTCTGGAAATAGAATGAGGGTATGGTTAAAAGCAGGAGGATGTCTGGACCAGCCACATGAAAAGTAATCTTTCTCTTAGGGCTTAGGATCGTCGAATTGCAGTGGAGTTGGCTTGTTGCGGGCGGACTTAATTCGTGGCTTGAGCGTTGGGAGACCTTGAAATCGGGAGTAAAGTAAGGTTTAGTTCTGGAGCCTCAATTGCAGCGATGTGTTTACTGTGTAGGAGGAAAATGAGACCTGTTTCCCAGCTGCTTCGATAAATGAACAGTACGTAGTAACTATATACAACTATCATTGGTGATGAGAGACAGATCACCGATCAGTCCTCTGGTTGTTCAAGTACGTATCTGATGCCAAGTTAAGCGGACTCACATATTTCTGCTCAAGTTCTCGATTCCACAGATGCATTGTCCAGATATGCAGGGTAGTAGCAGCCGTGCCCTATGATAACTAAGTTAAGTATCTAGAAATCTCTATCCGCCGAACACGGTGAACGGTGGGTCTCGGTGGGCTGGCAGTGAGCGGATAAATGTCCAATATCCACCCTCCCTGCTCTACTTTTCTACCTTTGGGAGCGAATCCACTGTGGAGTCCAAAAATAATAACGGAGCGACACGGACCGCTCGATCTCCTCTCTCCTGTCCCCTCGCCGAGTTTTTCGGCTGTGCCCAGTACCTTGCGGACAACAGGATGAGCCCTAGCCTTCTCCGCCGAGGTTTCCATATGGGCCTTATCGGTGCTGATGGCGTGGCCGAGCAGGCGTTGGGTCTGGAAGAGATCTGATCTCTTCCGGAGATTCCAAAGATTCTGCTTAACTGCTTGTTTGCCGAGTGCCCGCAAGGTCCTCATGCGAATGGACGACATGACCTTAGGAAGCTGCCCCAGTTAGTTACAGATGAATGTGATGCTAAAAAACCTGAACATGATGCAAATTTTTGACTCCCTTTTTTCACACGATGTTCAGCTTTGGAATCATGCCAATCTCTCAACACCAGAATCATGACATGACTTTGACATGAGTTTCTGAAGAGGTGATCAAGTTTTAGTGTACTCCGTAGTTAATATATTAGAATTATATATTGATAATATATGCATGAAATGTAATTATTTAAGAATTTAATCATTTAATTTTTTAATATTATATTATAATTAAGAAAAAATTTTAAAACTTGAATATAACCTCAAAATTTAGTATTAAAACTGTATATTATTCAAAAAATTCAGTTTTAATATTAAATATAAGTTAAAATTTAATTTCAAACTTAAGTATAATATTAAAAAAATAAATCAAATTGAATATTATATTCAATTTTGAAATCATATTGAGCTATTTTTTAGTCAAAGTTCGCATCACAATTCATTTTTTTGTCTGGAGCTGCTTTATTGTTATTATCCCTCCTGCGGCCGATTCCCTCCTGCGATTAGGGCTGATAATTCTCCTCCGCTTCCCTGCTCCCTCTTAGGGTCGTTTCTTTGACCTGACTCTTGCGTGCATTTACCATACACCTTGCCCTCTAGCTTATCAAGGTGTTCCTGGTACCTTGGTGGCACGGACACTGCGTTGTCTCTCCCCTTGGTTGAAAATGTGCTCTGTTTTTGCTTGCATTTTGTATATATATACCTCTATCCAAGTCCAACTATTCTACTTCACTCTCCTTATTATTCTCCCCACAAATCCAATCTCACTAGATATCTTTTCATTTTGCAACTAGCTCATGATATCTTCACGATCACAATTTTATTGATCTTGGAATATTCGAAACGTTTATTGAGCTTCGGAGTCTTTCGTCTACTTCTCATCCAACCAGCCGCAGGATGGTCTCCCGAAGTATCCCCCTACGTATTGCCTTGCTATTGTCATGTATCCCGTTGGTCGCTTCTCAGAGCCTCTCCGACTGCCATAACCATGACAGCGTGGTGTATGTTTTTTGCCTCTTGTGTTCCCATCCTTGACCTACATCTCTCTAATACCCTGTTAGGTTCTGTTTCGGGTCGGATGGGAAGGAAACTCCCATCTCGACTCAGGTAGCCCCCACGATGACCCAGCCAGCCTCAGTGTCGGCTGTCACTACAGAGGCTCCTCAAACGACAGCCATTACCGCTTGTCATACACATGAGACAAAGACGTAGGTGTCCCCAAATAAATAACAATCAATCTGGCGGTTGAGTCCCTTGGGACCCAAAAGGGCATAGTGTCTGGTCCTGCAGGTTCGACGACTAATCTGTGTTTTTTTTTTCCATCTAGATTTTGCATAGGAGGGGATGGTTCCGAGGTTGAAGTGTCGGCAACCGGCACCACCCGCCCTTCGGCGGTTCCAGTAGAGTTCACAGGCTGCCACTATCATGGTGGAACCAGGTTTGTTGTTCCGTGTGCTTTCCCATATTTACTTGCCTGCGACTACTAAAGGTCTTGAAAGATTTTGCGTAGGGCCCGATGGTGACGAAGTGCAAGTGCTATCCGCAAGCGGAGGCTCCGGCGACGAGCACGGGGGGAGGCAATCAAGCGGAGAAAATTGTCATTTCCATGGCGGTGTGGAGTAGGTGCCAACAGAGAGGATACCAAATAGTCGACTATCTTGGCTAACGATTTTGTAGGCATTGCACGGGCAGTGGAGAATCCGAAGCCTCAGCGCCGCCTTCCTGTGAACGAAGGGATCGAGACTACAACATACCGCTTCGAATTGGATCTCTGTTTGTCATACTTGCCACAAGCGCCATCGCCGTGTTTGGCCCAATGTTGTGGGCTCGATTTTTCAATACGAGTTTGAACGGCGTTCTTTTCACTGTGATTAAACAGTTTGGCACTGGAGTTATGGTGTCGACTGCGTTTATTCATGTAAGTTCTCTGCAAGGCAGTATGTTATATGGTACGAATATACGTTAACAACCCCGTAACGTAGTTGCTTACCCATGCACAACTCATCTTCAGCAACCCATGCCTTGGGACTTTAGACTACGAAGCAACCACAGGCGCAATTGCCATGGCCGGAATATTCCTCGCGTTTCTAGTCGATTACGCAGGAAACCGGTTTCTCCTTGCAAGGAAGCTCGACTGCAACCCGCACGCACACTGTGACGTTGAACCACAGCCAGCTCTGACAAAGTCCGCCAATGGGAGCGACACCGAACCAGCCGCTCCCACACTAGCCAATCTAGGCCACCACCACTCGCTTGCTCGACCAGATGACAAGCTGAGTGTAGTCATAATGGAAGCAGGAATTATCTTTCACTCAATCAGTGAGTCTAATGGAACTCCTTAGCTCAATTTCCCAAACCTGATGAACCTAAATATTCACATTTTCCACTATCAGTAATCGGTCTTACTCTCATCGTCGCCGGGGACTCTGGGTATCTTATCCTCTTCATCGTGATAATCTTCCACCAAATGTTCGAAGGCCTCGCACTAGGCGCGCGAATCGCCCAGCTGGGAGCCGCCCTCACGCCATCCAAGCTGAGCATGGCGACTGCGTTTGCGCTAATCACGCCAATCGGCATGGCGATTGGGCTGGGCGTGATCCACCAGTTCAACGGTAACGACCGATCGACCATCATTGCGATTGGCACCCTGGACGCGTTGTCGGCGGGGATCCTGTCGTGGGTTTCGCTGATTGATATGTGGAGCCATGACTGGCTGGAGGGTGATTTGCGCGATGCGGGAATCTTGAAGACGGGCGTTGGGCTTTTGGGGTTGGTGGCTGGGATGGTTTTGATGGGTTTGCTAGGGAAATGGGCGTGATTTCGAATTTTAGATTGTTGATTTTTGCTTAGCGTGTTTTTGGATGGCAATATTAGATTTGATATTTAGATAGGAGGTTTAGCAGTATAGCAGTGTTTATACCCGTTTTTATATAGATAACACTGGGTATCATCTTCAATTCATAAAAAGAAAGAAATAAGATCTGAAGTTAACATCTGCTTCAGAGTTAATTAAATATTTTATCAGTATTTTATTATTCAGAGTATTTATTTTGATTATAACATGAATTCAGAAATATGATAATTATTAATTTTTTATTTCTTTCTCTTCTTTATCTTCTGCAGATACACTTGTTAAAAGAGAAGTTAATTTTTGTAACATGGCGGAACCGAAGTGGTGGCTAGTCAGCGGCATCATGTAGGGATAGTTGTTTGGGAAGCTGTATGAGTGAGCTTGACTATCTTGCTTGAATAGTGAGCTCATAGGCTACAGGGTTATTGTGAGGATATCACAGATATGATACTTAGTATACTAAGAAGATTGTATGAGGCATGCAGTAACTCTTGTATATATTTCAGTAGAAGAAAAACAAATCACTGACTTCTTTAATAAGAAGCCAGTATCTAGCTATTCTATATAGACAATGAATGAATACTCTTCTTTCATTTCACAAGTGAGAATAGTCAGAGTGATATCTCAGCAGCATCTCATTATCAAGAAAGAGTAATCTGCTGATCTTATATAAAAGCAGAGTTCTTATATTCATCAATCAGATCTTTCTATGATATATTCAAATAATGTTATAAAGTGATTGAAAACTGGTTCAGATAGTCTGTAGAATGAATGAAATTATTCACATGAAAGCAATGAGCTGTGTGAAACTGTAACAGAGTCTTGATATAATCAGAAGTTTGATAATATTCTTCTCTTTAAGAACATAGTCTCTATATTCTCAAGATTACTGAATTAGAAATTATCTTTGTTATATAGTAATAGTTACTAATCAATTGACAGTGCATATGCTGTATGTGATATAAAGAAATAGATGAGTTTTTCTACTAACTGTATAAATCTTTCTTTTCTCATCATCATTTAAATTAAATATATGATAAGTGAGTTTCTTATATATTAATTTAAAATGTGAAAAACATAATTAATAAGTGACTTACAGATCTTTCAATATATTCTGTTCTATATATGAAATTCTCTGCAAAAGTGATGTATTTTAGAGACAAAGTTAACAGTAGTGACAGGATTTTTTTTAAAAAGATTTTTTCTTCTTATAACATATTTTTCTTTCTTTCTCTTATCTACAATAGTAAGTGTATGAGAGTATTATTCTTGAAGAACAGTAGAGAGCTTATTCTGATATTTTCTAGTGAGTAAATGTCTTCATGATGCAGTAGCAGTCTTCATAACTGTTAAGAAAGTCAGGTTAGAGACAGAGATAGTAATATTAATAAGTTACAGAAGCACTGCTTTCATTATTATATCTTCTTCTTCTTCTACTTCTTTTACAGCTGCAGTGATAGTCACTGTGTCTTGTAGTAAGATATCATTTCTTCTGTCAGTTAATTTATTCATATTCAGTCTGTTCTCTGCCTCTCTTATCACTGTTACAACACTGCTCTCTCTCTCAGTTAATACAGTGATATATGACTCTGTGTGATTATTCAAAGAGAAATCTGAAAAGAGCTTGATTTCAGAGACAGTGACTCTGAGAAGCTCAATTCATAGTTTCTCTTTCACAGTATATCTGAGCTCTGCTCAGAATACTGCTGAGTTCAGTCTGCAGAGTTCTGCAGTTTCTTTATCTTCTCTCTGTGAAAAGATTCTAATATAGTCTCTGACTAGTATTATTACTTGTCTGCACTGTATCAAGCAGCTGAAGAAAGAGAGAATTTTATATACTTACTTCTTCTCTCACTTCTATTATTTCTGTTATATCTGTAATAACAACTTCTGTCTCTCTGTAAGTATTATCTCATAGAAAGACATTATATTAGCTCTGATAAGAAGTCTAAATATTCAAGCAGTACAGAGTGAGAATCTCAGAGCTTTAAGTATTAATAGATTCTATTAAGACTGAGAAGATCTCTCTTACTTATCTATAAAAAGAGACAAAAGTATAAGTCTTTAAGATGAAAAAACATCTCAGAATAGCTGATCTTAAGAAGAAGTCAGTCAGTACTACTATTAAAAGTACTGTGAAGATTAATCACTGATTAAAGAGAATCTCACTTCAGTTAAAGTAAATAACTGAGATACTTTATAAGTTGATAAGTTAATACTTTCAGTATCTCTTATACTCTTCTACAGCATGCTTCTCTACAGTACTGCAGTGCTAACTTTTCAGCAGATAAAAATATCAGTATTGAAGACTTCAACAGTGAAGAATAAGTTTGATAAGAATATAATTATTAATGAGTAGACTCTGAGATTCTCTCTTTTTACTTTTTCAGCAGACTGCAGTCTTATTAGAATAGCAGCAGTCTGTGAATTAATAATATTAATCTTTTTATTAATTTCTAATATCTCTTTTCTCTAATCACTTTGAAATTTTTATACTTATATAGTCTTATTAAACTTCTAAAAAACTCTTTGAGAGAAAATAGAAGAAGAGTGCTACAGAGTCTATAAGATGCTGACTCATCATTATAAGATTATCTCTAAAAAACTCTTTGAAAAAAATGAGAACTCTTAAGCAGTATTTCTTATTCAATATCTCTGATATATAATAAGACAGTCTCTACTAGCTATCTCATAGATTGTAATCTCTTTCTCAGTATTCTTTAAATACTTAAGCAGTTCTCACAAATTCTCTGATAATGAATAATTTTCTTATTTAACAAGATATTAAAACTTACTGTAATATATTCACTTATTCAATATTTTCTTCATAAGATATTCAGTATTACTCTCAATCTCAATATTATCTGACTAAGATAGCTCTGTCTCAGAGTATTACTTATAGAGCTTTAAATAGAAAATGTGAAAAACAGAATGAATTGATTTCAATTCTGTGAGTAATTTTAACTCATATATCTGTTTATTCATTACTCTTATTATTAGAAAAGATTCTAGTCACTGCTCACTGAGCTTCTTATATAATCTTATTATCTTGATATTCTTTGCTGAAAGTAGTACTTAATTCTCTATTAAGAACTTTATTAAAAGATATTTTTAATTATAGTATTTCATTTACTGCTTCTAAGTATAGTAGATACTTTTCATTATCTTTTTATGAATTTTATTCAAAAGTTTCAATCTTACTTTTACTTCTAATACTGAGAGATACTTCATTCTCTGTATCTGTCTGATATTCTGACTGTCTATCTCTCTCTTTGAAATATTATTTATAACATCACTGAGTAATGAAGAATTATATTTATAATAAGCATAGAAAGAAGATATCTTTAAGATTACATTCTTTATATTGTTATATATGAATTAAGTAGTTAGAAGATATTTAAGTCAATCATTCTGATAATATGAATAGAATACTTAAAGATGCTGTTTTAATATCTGATTCTGATATTCAGTCTGATTATCAGTCTGTGAATGAAATGCAGTACTGAGAAGACATTATATTATAAGATAATAGTAAAAAGCTGATCAGTATTTGCTGATGAAGAGAGATTCTTGATCTATTATTAACAATTTCAGAGTACTGTAATTATGAATAATGATATCTAAAAATAGATCAGTTAATTCAGAGACTTTAATCTTTTTATAAGTAGAAATATATCTGATCATCTTTATAAAGTAGTTAATAATAATTAAAATTAAGTTATATTCTTTGACTCTTATTAACTTCAGCAGATTAACTATGAAATTCATTAATAGATTTTATTATAAGCTCTTTAAAACAGACAGTGATATTAACTCACTGTATTACTTATATTATAAGATCTTTATTCTTTGATAGATATTATAAGTTTTAATATACTCTTTAACATCTATCTGAAGCTTATCTCAAATATATTTATATTTTAAAAGCTTCTCAGTCTTCTCTAATCTGAAGTGCTCTGTATAGAAATTATTATAATGAATTCTTAATAACTTCTAACACACTGCTCTGCTATAAGAGATGAAGACTGAATTATTCAGCAGTAGAAGTTTATATTCTTCTAGTTATCAGTGACTTGATTTCTTAGCAGCACTGTTCTGCTCAGAGTCTGTCTCTTTTAAGTTTAAACTGAACTCTTTCTTCTTTAACTTCTGAATTTAAGCTGCAGTAGAGACATCTCTCTTCTGTAACTTATTAATGAATTTCAAAAGTAGTTAGATTGAAAGATTGTAGACTGTTTCATTCTTTATCAATTCAATAATTATAAGATATAATATGAGAAGCTTATAATCTTCAGTGTTAGTCTCTTACAAGAATCTGAGTTCTCTTTCATCTTCTATACTGAGTTACACAGCTGTCTCTTCAGCACTGTTTCTGAGCTTTAGAGAATCTTAACTCTCTGCAGTCAGTTTCTTCTGTAGTGATAGTAGAGATTCTTTTATAGAATTCTTCTCTGCATTAATGATATTATAATCAGACTATTTAGACAGTATATTAGCAGGGTTAAGTCAATCTGAACAGTATCAGATATAGAAATCATACTCTGAAAGCAGCTCTGCTCATCTGACTTAACATTCTATCAAGCTCTTTATTGTTAAGAAGTAACACAGATTTATATAATCAGTGAGAACTTATACTAAATATCTACTACTCTGAAGATAATGTTATCAGATCTTAAAGAATTTGATAATTACTAACATCTTCTGATCATGAGTATTATATCTTCTCTGTATAAGTGATAACTTCTTAAAGAAGAAGATCACTGATCTTTATTCATAGTATCTTATAGACTCTGTGAAAAAGTCTTCTCTCACAGACAATTCATTATCTATTTTTTCAGAAGTGATTATTCTCTGATTCTTTCAATATTGAAAGATCTTCAGTGTCAACTGTGAAAAGATTTCACAGATCTCATTCTCAGATACATCAGTCTTATACTGACTGAATAAGTCAGAGTTAAAGTGATTCAGTATTATAATATCTGTAAAAGCTTGTTTCAATTCTGTAAACATCTGCACAGTGTCTTGAGTAAGAATAAATAATCTCATTTTTCTATCTTTCACACTTCTCTTTAACAGATCTATAAGAGAAGCAGTAATTCATGAATATACATAGATAAATTATCTGTAGAAATTCATAAATTCTAGAAATATCTGCATCTTGTGATATATCTGCAGCATCAGCCAGTTCTCAATGATGAAGACTCAGCTCCTGTTTATTGAAATATTATTCATCTTAATAATATAA